CCCCTCACCCCCCCGTAGGACCCCCCCAGGACACATCACCTGCTGCCTCAAGACCTCGTTGTCCATCTGGAGCTGGTCGAGGCCCTGCAGCTCCTCGGAGAGGCGGTGGTTGCTCTGCCGCAGCTCCTGGATGTAGTCGCAGGCTTTGGAGAGGATCCCCCCTTTGCTCTGGGGTGGGGGAGAACAAGGTGGTGGTGGGGGATGAGTAAAGGGGGGGCTCTGGACCACCCCCCAGCCCCCCCGGGGGGGTCCTTACCTGCCCCGATTTGGTGTTCTCCATGGAGCAGTCGGGGATGATCTTGGAGAGCTGCACAATCCAGTTGTTGATTTTATCCCGGCGCCGGCGCTCCACTGCGAGGGGAGGGGGGAAATGGGGAGCAGGGGGGGTCAGCACCATCCTGAGACCCCCCTCTGGAGAGCACCGAGTCCCCACACCCCCAGAGGGGTGTCCTCCTACCCCCACAAACCAGCACCCTCTTGGGGTTGGGGGTCTCTTGGCCTGGTACCCCCAGAGAGAGGCAGGAACAAGGGGGGATCTACCTGGTGTCCCCCCCACCCAGCTCTCCATGCACCCCCCTGCCTGCTCTGGGGGGAAAAAAAAGCAATTTTGGGGTCAAACCAGCCCAAACAGCCAGGTTTTGGTGGTTGTGAAGCCAAAAAGAGAATCCCGGTGGTGCTTCAACCCCACGCTGGGTGCTTGTCCCCAACACTGTCCCCTCCGGGCTGGGGGGGCCACCTGGGTGCCCCCCACCTTTCCCAAGGTCTGCTTTCCCCCCCTGCTGCTAATTACGGCTAATTACACCCTCCCAAACGAGGTTCTGCCCTTAGCTGAGAGCTCTGAGGTGGGTCCTTTGAGCTTCTCCATGGAGGTGGGAAGGGACAGTGTTAATGAGGGACGGCTCCGTGTCCCCCACTGTCCCCAGTGTCCCCCCCAGGTCCCAATGTGTCCCCCCCCATCCCCACGATGCCCCCCCCGGTACCTTCATTGTGCTGCGCCCGGCGTTTCTCGTCCCGGGTGGCCCTCGGTGCCTCCGACTTCCTGGGGGACAGGAAGACAAGGGTGGCATCAGTCCTGGTGACACCGGGGGGACACACATGGATGGGGGGCACCAACCTGCTCCCAACCAACCCCAGCACGGGGAATAGGGGTGGGCACGGGGGACGATGGACCTCTGCGTCCCCCCCTGCAGCACCTCCTGCGGTGACATCATCACGAAGAATTGCCCTGAACGGCCCAAAACGAGACGGGAGAGCGTGTGTGTATGTGTGTGTGTGTCAAACAGGGAGCACCCCAAAACACCCCCAAGGAGTGTGGGGGGGAGGGGGTGTGGGGAGGGTCCTGAGGGTGCGAGGGTCGTACCCGTGGGGGTGGGCTGCCCCAGCAGGGCCTCGGAGTTCTGGGTGGTGACGACGGCGGTGGCGGTGGTCCCCGCGCCCCCCGAGGTGCCGGTGTCGGTCACCGCCGCGGTGGGGAAATAGGTGTAGTGGGTCTCGGTGGCGGCCGCCTCCGTCTCCACCGCGTCCTCGCTGGTGAAGGCGCCCTGGATGACGGCCTGGAAGGGGAGGGGGGGACACGGTGTGGGGAGGGGGTGTCACTGTCCCCTGTCACCCCCCCGGGCGCCCCGGCTGTCCCCCTCACCCACCTGTGTCATGGACTGGGTGGCGGGGTACCCGCTGATGGC